GAGGGCCAAGGCGATGGCGGCGGCAGCCATGTCAGCAGCTGCGGACAAGGCTGCCAAGAAGAAGGCTGCGTGGCAGCATGCCGTCGCCAACGTGCCCGGGCAGGTCACACTCGTGTCCGCTCTAGGACGCTCTGCTGCGACTGCGGGGTCTGGCGACGAGGAGCTCTGCGAGCCGCCCCACAAGTCCCAGTGCCTCCCAGCCGACGGGATCCCCGTCGAGGAGTACGCCGACTCCGACGAGATGCAGGACGCCGACGTGGGCGACGCCATCGGCCTGCCCACCCAGTCTGTTCGCTAGCCCGACGGGGGACACAGCAGGCAGAGACAGGCCGTGGGCTGTCAACTGCCTCTCCCGATGTCCCACCACCGTCCCCCCATCCGGGCTATCCTGGTGTCCCGGCTCCTCCTGCTGAAGCTGGGGCTTCTCAACTTGGGGTTCGGGGGTGCTCCCACAGCCCCCTCCCCACGGCCCAGGAAATGGGTCACATCACGCACTGTCTGTTTAGCCCCTGGTCTCAGGATCTCTGCAGGCATACCCATGTGTTTGCTAAGTATTGGCATTCGACTACGGTGAACGAGTTTCCGCTGCTCAGCTCATCTGATGAATTGGGCGAAGTGGTTCGTATCCATATGTATACTGATGGCTCTGGTGGTGCCTCTCGGGATTCCGTGCGTGGGCCTCCTGCATGGTCGTTCGCTGTCTTGTACTGCGACGCCTATGATCGTGGGTATCTGGCTGGGTTTCTGGGAGGCTCTCTGGATCCAGATGCTGTCCCCCATTGTGTTGCACCTTTGGTCGCTGAGATTGTGGCGGCCCAATGGGCCCTTGGTTGGCTATTACAATCGGGGTGCTGTCTCTGGGACGTTCCTGTCACGGTATTCGGCGATTGCTTAGAAGCTCTCAGAGTTGCCTCTGGAGGCGCCCTGACTCAGTCGTTGATGTGTTATCGGGGGGCTTTGGATTCTCTGGCCAAGGTTGTGCGTACCCTGGTTCCGGATTTGTCTTGGGAACATGTCGAGGGCCACGTTGGTCATCCCTGGAACGAGCTGGTGGACACTGTCGCTCACCTGGCTTCTACTGGGCACCCCCAGCTTCCAGCGCCCGACTGCTCGTGGAGGGCTAGCTTATCGCCTGCCTCGACTCTGCGATGGGCATGGCTATTCTTGTCTTCTCCTGAGGTTCAATCACAGTACCCGCCGTTCGGTGGATCCGACATGCCAGAGTTCATTCCTGACGCTGATCCTGCTAGCATCCTTAGAAACATGTTAGGTGCCGCCTCAATGCAGGCCGCCCCTGTCGATGGTGCTCAGCAGTCTTCCCCTCTTCGGTTTGCGTCTGCTAACGTGCTCACGTTTGACTCGCAGGCCTCTGTTCACGCCGAGGCATGTCGCAAGACTGGGCTGTACATGCCGGGCAGGATGCGCCATCTTGGGGACATGTTTGCCAGACATGGGTTGTTTTTGGTAGGCACTCAGGAGGCCAGATTTCCTCGCAGTGGTGTGTCCAAGGTAGGCCAGTCTCATGTCATTCATGCTCAGTGTTTGCCATCTGGGAAGTACGGATGCTCTTTGTGGGTCAATCTTGCTGTCCCTCTTCTCCCTGGTGTGCGCGTGCTGCCGCCCCACTGCGGAGTCTTGTTCGCTGCGCCACGCCTGCTAGTCGTAGCTATCGCTGTGAAGCAATTTCGAATGGATGTCGTGGTCGGACATGCGCCTCACAGCAAGACACCTCCGGAACTCATCCGTCAATGGTGGAGTCGTTGTTTTGATCTTGTTTCCCGTGTTCGGTCTCCTGACGCTGAGCTGGTAGGCCTTTTTGATGCTAATGTTCGCCTTGGGTCCATCATCTCTCGACATGTGGGGGCTGTTGCAGCAGCTCGGGAAAACCTTCCAGGGCGTTATTTCCATCAGCACTTGCGTAAGCTTAATCTGTGGGCGCCCTCTACGTTCCTGGAGTCTGGTCAGGTTTCTGCCAGCGCATGGTTTCCTCCTGGACGGTCCGGCAGTTTGGGGCATCGTCTGGACTACGTGGTATGTTCTTTCGGATGTCAGGTTCTCAAGCAGCGTGTCTTGGATGAGGTTGACTTGTCGATCAACGTGCTTGACCATGTTCCAGCAGCTGTATTGGCGTGTATGCCCGTTGCAGCTAAGTGTCTCCAGGGTTCCCGCGCTCACAAGGTCAAGTGTGATCCTGCCCTGTTCGAGGACCCCGTAGCACGTGCCAACTTCTCGGCGGCGTTGAACAAATGCCTGGGTGTGTCTTTCCAGGTCCCGCCTTCCGAGCATTTTCAGGCTTTGGCTGGACATCTGAAGGTTTCCCTGGAAGAAGCGTTCCCTACTCGGTCGACTTCTCGGGGCCGTACCCCTCGCCAACCCTGGGTTTCTATTGGGTTTCTATTGGACAGGAGAGTGCAGTTACTTCGGGACTTTCGCAAGCTACACGTCTACATGAATCGTCAGAAGTTGGCCATTCTGCTACACGTCTGGGCTTTACCACTCA